TCAGCTCATACTCACTCTGGCTTGCTGGACACTTTTTAAGTGGGTGACCTTGAATCAGGTGATCTCAGTCTGTCTATTAGTGTCCTACCCTTGCAATTGCATACATCTTTGTTTTCCTGTGGAGGCCTTCTGGGTCATGCCTGCAGAAGGAAAAGACTGTAGACATGCTAAGTGTGACTCCCAGACCTTCTATTCCCCTCTGTTTCCAGAACTTTACCTTCCACTCAAGAACCCAGAAGACTGGTCTGGGGAGTCTGACCAGCTCAAATGCAAGCAAGGAAAGAATGACACTGGGAATATCCAAACAGCCCACTCAGATCACCCTGCAGTGAAAGTCAGCAAGCCACTTCTCCCAGCCCCACTCACTCAGAGCTTGCACTCAGTAGCAAGCTCCCCACCCTAAAACATGAGAATACAGCCAGCATAACAAACATCTGATGAAGGTCTCTGAAATTGAAGACAGAAAGTGGAGGGGAGGGATGGAAAAAAGTAATCTAGAGAGACAGAAACAAGGACAGGTCACAACAATGAAGAATTATCTGGTCCCAAATGTCGACAGGCTTATTGTTGAGAAACCCTCAGTCTTGACCAAGATATGAAAGAGGAAAACTTTAGCAACAGTAAATATGGTACTTCTTTTGTTTTGTAGGATATCCTGGTTTCATTTTCTGTGATGGGATCAAGTATAATTGTTTATGCTGTTTCATTGTTGTGCTGTCATTGTTTTGTCTCATTCAAGTGAATGAGTAGTTGTATAGGGCTAAAGTTACATAGTAGTTGTATAGGGATAAAGAAAAGGGGGATATGTCCAATTTGTATTTTTTCATTTTGTAAGAAGAGTTGAATTATTGTTTACAAAAAGAGTAAATGGTTTAAAAAATTATTTCACTCTCTGAAGATTTGGAACTTCATTTAAAAAAATCTAAATAGCATTTTTGCTCAATGACAATGCATTTTACTAAATTATGTAACAATTTTGTGTTGACACAAAATTCTTTACTTATATAAGTTGTGAATCTGTTCTTTATTCTATTTAACCACCTAAAGAACAACCACCTAAAATTAAATTAGGATATGTTTTGTAAATCTATCAAATATTCTAAATATAGCACCCTAAATTCATAGAGAACCTTATTGTTTCCCAAGTTTATATTGTAATCTATAATTGGAGTTTATTGCTGCATAGAAGTATGAAAATTTGCCTTAAGTGGAAACTTAGAGTAAGAACCTTAATTGTGATACAATATCACCAATAGTGAAATCAGATTATTTAGCTTATTTTCTCTTCTTATGCTAATATTGTCCCTGCTAGTTTAAAAAAAATTGGATTAGACCTATTTGTCAATAAATGTTAGTTTTCTACTTTAAAAACATAATGAAATAGAAAACAAGAGGGAGAAGATAAGAAAATCAGAGGAGCAGTCTAGGAGTCCAACACCTTAATGATAAGAGTTTCAGAGAGGACAAAATGGAAAATTTCCCAGAAGTACAGGAAATGAATCTTCAGATTAAAAGGAGTCATGAAGTGTCTAACATAATACATGAGAGCAGACAAACACAAGTTATATCATAGTGAAATTTCAGGACACTGAAGATAAAAAGAAGATTTAAAACTTCTGGATAGAAAAAAATAGATCACATATAAAGAATCAATAATGAGAACAGCTTCAGACTTCTCTACCACAATAGCAAAAGCTGGATGATAGTAAAGTGATACCTTTAAAATTCTGAAAAAAGTAAAGTATTTCCAGCCTAGAGCTCTATGCCCAGCTAAACTATCAATCAAGTGTAGGGACAAAATGAAGACATTTTTAGACATGTGGGGTCTTTTAAAAATGTATTATTTCTCAGTAAAACATTAGCACAAGTAGCTCACCAAAACAAGGGAGTAAGGGGAGGGGAAAGAGAGAGAGAGAGAGAGAGAGAGAGAGAGAGAGATTGATTAGCTACAGAGGATGAAAGCATTAACACATGAAAGAACTGAAAGAAATCTCTAGGATCCTAGTAAAGGGAGATGCCAGGATGACATCTAGGATCATCATGTGTGACCTAAAAGACAAGTGTTTTGAAGGCCACTATCCCCAAGAGACAGATGTGTTAGGTGCCTTTATCCTTCAGATTCCATCTTCCTTTCATCGCATCATCATTTTAACCTGCCAATACTCAGATACTAATGCCCTGAAGAGGCCTGCTCTGGAGTCCAGTAGCCATCTCAATGCTGTGAGCCAGGGCCTCTACAAGATTCTACTCCAAGGCTCAGGTCCCATTAGTGTGCTGTCAGTTCATATCTTCCAGGTCATCATCTCCAAGGGATGGGTGTCCTGAGCTTGGATGAGGGCAGAGTTCAAAGAGGAGGTACCTCTGCAGTCACACATACAGACACACATACACACGCACACACACACACACACACACACACACACACACACACACACACACACACACACACCACAGTGCAGGAGGAGTGATGAGTAACCAAGGGTTGATCTGTAGAGGGAAGACATCTCAAAACTTACCTCCCCAAAATTGCTCACAACCTCAGTGAAGGCGCTGGTACATGCAGGCTCTCATGTACGCTGAGGATCATGTGTGCAATGCATCTGTACATCACATCTCCATCTGTGGTGTGTACACACACACCACACACACATCATGCTCTCCGTGAAGAAACTCCTCTTTCTCATTCTACAGGATCATTTTCCAGCTTCCTTCCCAGATTTTCACCAAATGATGAACATCAGCAAAAGTTCCCCACCCGAGCTGTAGAAAATTTTCAGGCATTTGTCCTATGATAACTGTACCCTCTCAACAGCCCTGTCTTGCAATGTCGCCTAGGTTGGTCTCAAACTTCTTGGCTCAAACAATTCTCTTCCCTCAGTCTCCCAAAGTGCTGGGATTACAAGCACAAGCCACCATACCCAGCCCAGTTTTTTTTATTATGACTAATGCTATATCTAGTATTCATACTGCCACTCCTGCTTATTCTGTGTTGTGTTTTTCTGATAAACTTCGCCCCAACCATCTATCCCCAAGCTTCAGTTTCTCATCTGCAAAATAGTGGTTAAAAAAAAAAAGCATCAGCCAGGCTCGGTGGCTCAGCCTGTAATCCTGCGCTTTGGGAGGCTGAGGTGAGTGGATTGCCTGAGCCCGCAGGTTTGAGACCTGCCCGGGCAACTTGGCGAGACCTCATCTCTACAATAAATCAAAAAATTAGCCGGGCGTGGTAGTGCATGCCTGTAGTTCCAGCTCCTTGGAAGGCTGAGGCAGAAGGATTGCCGGAGCCCAGCAGGTCGAGGCTGCGGTGGCCAGGAGCGGCCACTGCACTCCTGTCTGGGTGACGGAATAAGACTTCAATTAAAAAAAAAAAAGAAGTCATCTTTCTCACAGGGCTCTAGCGAAGATTTCAAGAAATATATGTAAAGTGCTTAGAACTTATTGTACGTAGGTTATGCTATATGTGTTAATTATTACTGTCATTGAATTCCTAGTAGTTTGAAGTAATGCACTATGGTGAGAAAAACAGTCATGTACAGTTCCTGCCTGAGTGGAGTAAACCATTTTGGGGGAAATACATATAATAAACAAGTGAACAACTAAAAAATTACCACTACAAATGGTCTTCCTTAACATTATACTGCTTCTTGTAAACAGTGTATAGGTGGATTTTGTTTCTTAGCAAAACAAAGTTCAATGTCATGTACTTAGGAGGGCTGACATATTTTATCATTTATATTTATTATTAATATAAATATTATATACATATAAAATATATAATATGATATATGCTGTGTTATATAGTCTATTGTCTTAGTCTGTTTGAAATGCAATAACAAAATACCTTAGACTGGGAAACTTGGAAAGAGTATAAATTTATTGCTCATAATTTATTTAGCAGGCTGGGAAATCCAAGATTAAGGTGCTGGCAGATTCAGTGTCTGGAGAGGGTTCACTTCCCGTTTCATAGATGCTTGTCTACTTGCTGTAATCTCACATGGTGGAATAGGTGAGGGACATCTCTGGGTTTTATTCCATAAGAGCACTAGCCCCATTCGTGAGCACTCTATCCTCATGATTGGATCACCTCCCAAAGACTCCCACATCCAAATAGCACCTCCTTGGGTATTAGGATTTCAACATATGAATTTTAGGGGGCAACACAAACATTCAGATCACAGTATATATATTACTGTATATGTTAAATATATGTCATATAGAACATATATTTTATGGCATATATTCTATACATAGTATATATATGCAGTAATTTAATTCTTATTATTTAACTTTTCTGTTTTCTTGGTGATGTTTCCTCTTTTATTTTGCCACACTTCTCAATTTACAAGTTTCCTTGATTTCTCCCAAGTCCAGAGCTCTCACTCCCACCTTTATCTGGACGTTCCTGTGTATATGTGTGCACTATAGTATGATGGTTAAGAGCCACACACTCTGCAGACAGAATCCTTGGGTTCAAATCCTGATAAAATCACTTACTTGCTGTGTAATCTTGGCAAACGACTTAGCCTCTCTGTGCCTCAAATACCTGCTTTATAAAATGTGGATATTAACAGAATCTACTTGTCTCAGAGACTGTGGCTACCCACGAAAATCCATTCCCCTTGTCTTTTATGGTGATAGAATTGTGGCTGGGCACATGGCTATCCTGCTGGAGGAGTCTTTCAGCCTCTCTTGCAGATAGTGTGACCTTGAGACCAAGTGCCTGCTAGTGAAGTGTAAGTGTAGATGGTGTGTGTCAGTCCCAGGCCTGGGCCTTATGCGATCAGGAGGGTCTTGTCCACAGGCTCTATTTGTCTTCTTGGTGGCAGAAACCAAGCTACGGAAGCAACTGAGCTTCATCTTCACAGGTAATGATGATGCCTAGGGTAGTGGCAGGATGGCTAGGACAGACCTGAATGTCCATGGGGAGCAGAGCTACCCCGCTGACTTGGACAACTATCTCCAGCATTGCCAGATGAGAGTGAAATAAATGCTCAAATTCATTTGGGTATCTTTGTTAGGCTATAAAACCTGCCTCTATGAGTGCAGGTTAGGCCCTGAAGGCAGATGGACCCATACCCTGGCTCCTAGTGGAGGGAGGGTGCAGAGTCTGAGAAGCTTTCACAACCCTGTGGCTTCCCTCTGCTGTGGGGCCCAAGGTGCCTGCACATTCAGGCTCCTGACCCCAAAGTGAACTAGGCCTCATGTGGTGGTGACAGGTGGACAGTTTAGTAAGGGGAGGAGAGTGGAGCCATACCACGGGGCCCTGTGTGTAGGCTGGCCGTCTCCCTCCTTCTTTGGTCAGGGGTTTCCTCCTCAGTAGTGGACACAGTAGAGCTGGACGCTTCCACTGATCCGGAGCTCCCGCAGTTGCTCCAGGACCTGCTGGCTCAGGCTGGTAGCCCCGAGTCCCTGCCCATTGAGTGCCAGCTTGAGCCCTCCCTCCTGGCACAGGAGCAGCACCTGGGAAGGGAGGACAAGAGCAGGTGTGGGTTTCCAGACAGACACACCCTCATTTGCTTGACACTCTACCCAGTGAGACCCTCTTCCCCTCATAGGACACAAAGACTAGACCTGGGAGTCACCAGTGCTGGAAAAGAACAAGATGATGTTGTCACCAGCCTACTGTGGCCTTCAACAAGGATATTTCTAGCCCTGGGCTCAGTTTCACCATCTGTAACTGAGGTTACTTCTTGTCAAGTAGTGGTTCTGCACATTGGAATCATTAGGGGAACTTTTTATTAAAGCTGATGCTTGGGCCTCTGCCCACTTTAATTAAACCAAGTTCTAGGTAAGGGATTCCAGTGTGGAGCGCTGAGGGCTATTGCATGGACCTTTCCTCTGCCCAGCTGGCTCTGGCTTCCCAGCCCTGTGACATCAGCCTGCTCATCCACTTCGGGATCCACCTCAGAGTCTCTCAGGTCATTATGGGAATTCACCTCTATGCTCTATCCTGGAGGGATGTGACCACTTGGCTCTGACCCACCTCAAAGAATCGCTGGGGGTAAAAGAGGAAGGGAGCTGCGATCAGCTTCTTCCGTCCCCAGGGAGCGGTCCAGGCCAGAGTTCTGTCAGCGAAGGAAGCCCTGAGTGTCACAGGAGCATGGGCAGCCTTGTCCCTCAAGCTCAGAGTGAAACTGCAGGAAGCACAAGGAAGGAGAAGGGAATTGGTTTCCATTGCCCTCAGGCCATTGCTTAGCCCTGAGGGGAAGGATGGAGCTGGGAGAGTAGCTGCAAGGTTCTGCAGATTCCACATGTTGAAGCAAGGGCTAAGGGCCTGTGATGGGCTCAGGGCTGGATATGGGTCACTGAACAGCTCAGAGTAGTGGAATAACACAAGTCCTAGATGAATCTGAGATTGAGTCCCTGGGTTGCTGTCTACTTACTGGAAGACCATGGGGTGGGAGAGGTTGTGCGAAAATTCCCCAGCCCAAGCCTTGGTACTACCTCCTGAAAATGAAGATAATTATGATAATTGTAGTAGGAGCTAACACTAGTTGAATAATAATGATGTGCCAGGTTTTGCCTAAAATGTTTTGCAAATGGCTTAGTGGTTAGAGTCAGCTGCCCAGGTTCAATCCTGGCTCTTAGTCCTGTGATCTTGGGCAAGTAAATACCTTAATCTCTCTGTGCCTCAGTTTCTTCATCTGTAATGTGGGATAATAAGAACACTGAACCGGCCGGTGGCTGTTATAAGAATTAAATAAGGTAATACATGCAAGTGCTTACTTAGAACAGCATCTGGCACGTAATAAGCACTTGGATGATGCCTATTGTTTAAAAATAATAATATAGAATACAATGTCTACCTCATAGGGCCACATACACACAACAAGGAGCAAAGGAGATAATGTAAAAACTAGCAATTCTTGGCACACAATAGTGTTTTACAGATGCTAGGGCTTGCCTTTCCTTAATCATCTCACAAATTCTAGGACGTAAGGTTCGTCAACCGATTTAAAAGATGAGCATGAGAAGTTGAATGACTTGCTCTGTGCCTAGTAATAGCTGTGAGGCCTCAGGCTGGGATGTAAATAAGGATTACTGACTCCGGATTTGGGGAGTCTTTATATTGCCTGGCACCTGCCTGTCACACAAGTTGGCCAGATTCCTTTTCAAGTCTTGGGAGCTTCCCAAGTGTCCTTCTTTGAAGCACTAGCCCCAAGGTTGCTATGGACTTACTCCTGAGCAGGAAGCAGTTGAAAGTAAGAAGAGATACAGGATGCAGATGGCGGGGCAAAGTGGGGAAAGCCTGCCCTGGGAGGGCCTTTCAGGGACTTTTGGTAGAGCGTTGCAGGATGAGGCTCCATCAATTTCCAACTGGGGGAAGGAAGTACCCAGCTCAATGTTGGGAAGAAGCTTGGAAGGCAGAGATCCTGGAAAGGGAACTGCATGGCGCCTCCAGCCCCAATGTGGCTGGGAGGTGGTTAGCCACAGCCTCAAGGTGCTTATCCCATCCCTCCACCCCAGCCCTATCTTTGTCATCATCTTCCCACTTGCCTCAGTATCCCCCCACCACAGCCTCATTCAGCCTAGTCCTAGATTGCATCATGGACTCCCTCTAGATGACCAGCAAAGCTTACTTGAAGCTCTTTGAAGCTTCAGTCATACTCCTCACCCCACACTCAGTGCAGAGGGGAGAAGAAAGGGTGAAGCAAAGAAGGAGGAATCGATTTTCATGCAAATGAACCCTGCCCTCCAACTCACTCCCTCTGTCCAACTGCCATCAGTTGTTCTGAGAAAACAGCTGTAGTAGGGATGGTGGCAGCAGCAGCATTCACTACAGACTTGCTAAGTGCCAGCTGCTGTGCTGAGTCTTCATGTTGGTGGACCTTGGCTGGGCAGCCCTTACAAGAGTGTCGGCCTGGTTCATAGTATTCTTCCACTTTAAGTTAATACAATACTCAAAAATGAAGAAAGTTTATATGGCTTCCAGTTTGTCTTTAAAAATAGTCAGAGGAGGCCAGGCACAGTGGTCCATGCCTGTGATCCCAGCACTTTGGGAGGCTGAGGTGGGAGGATTGCTTGAGCCCAGGAGTTTGAGACCAGCCTGGGCAACACAGTGGGAACCTCATCTCTACAAAAATGAAAATAAAATCAGGATCTGGCATGACTGGGTCTATGGAAATATTCTTCCCACTTCACCATTTTCTCTACTGGGTGTCTCACTATTCATGTGACCAGTCTAGTCTCTGAGGCCACATGCATTCGTGGCCTTTGGAAAGAAGAGTTAAGTTACTTGCTGTGTCACCAACTATGTCACTAATAACCTTGTGACTTTGAGCCAGAATATGAACCTGGACTCATGCCCCTAAGTTTTGAGGGAAGGGATGTTCTATCACTGAGCACTTTTCTGTTTTCCCTATTAGGTTGGGATAATTTTTTTCCTTTTTCCATTAGGGAAACTCAGACTCAGAGAGGTTTGGTGACTTGCCCAAGGCCATACAGTTTATAAGAGGCCCCCAAACCAGAAATCCAACCCAGTCATGCCTGTCTTTGGAGGCCATGCCATCCAGTGTTGTGCTTCCTCCCTTCCCCAGAATTCACAGGTGTGATCAGGAGTATACAAGGCAAGGGTTTATTGAGGTCAGTGACTTAAAAAACAAAAACAAAAATAAATCAGGGAAAGCATGGGATGCTCCCCTTTCTTTCCCCTCTCCCTCCTCCACTGAGATACTTCTAATAGCACCCACATTTGTGGGGCATTCACTATGTACCAGGTACTGTGACAGGCATTATTATTATCCCCTTTTGACATAGAAGAAAATTGAGGCACAGAGAGAGAAAGTATCTGCCTTGAGGCTGCACAGGTAGTAAATATCCTCAGCAGATGCCAACCCAGGCCATTGGGAGGGAAAGATTATAAAATCCAATGTATTTCCTCAGGGCAGGCAGGCAGGCAGGCCACTCTTGTCTAACTGAATTGGAACCACAGGTCTGAGTTTCAGTGCCCCCTATAAGAGAAGCTAAGCAATGTCCACTTAGTAATATGCCCAAGTCATGTCCAAGTACCAGCCCTCCTCTTTGGGGCAGCCTGGCTGATTCCTGAACTACACATTGTGTCGCTATGGGAAGGCACATCCTCTCTCTGGGCCTCAGTCTGCACCTCCAAAGGGCCATTCCTGGGGCCTCTTTTCTGGGACCTGTGATGAGAGGATCGCTGGCCTGACCGGATGCTCTCAGAAGTGGGGATGCTGCTCCCTATCCCAGCCTGACTTTCATGAGCTCTGAGACCTTGGGCAACTTCTTCTTTCTGCTCCACTCTGGTGATGGGAGATTGAAAGAGGTGATGCTTTATAAGTATATGCCTGGCACAAAGATGCTTCCTCCTCCCCTCCACCAGGGTGCTGGATACTTACTCCTTCGGCTCTTGCAAGACCAGCCCCCGCACTATGATGACCTGCCCAGGCCAGAGACCTCGAGGAAGAGCATGTGAGCAGGGCACCTCCTGAAGGAACACAGACAGTGACTTACAGGTGGATCAGGGAGGGCCACCCACTCCGAGGCACCAGGGGAGACTGGGGCAGGCATGTTTCTGCTTTTAGAACTTCAACCAGGAGACTCAGCTCTGTTCATTTATTAAGCAACTACTGCAGGCCCGGCCTCCGGCTCAGCTCCTGCTGAAAGCTTTCCTTGGCCTCTCCAGCCTGAATTCGGTGCCTCTTCGCGTCTTGGACACCACATCCTTCTTCTGACTGCACCCTGAGTTGTAATGTCCATGCAGTGGACTGTCCCCCACCAGCCTGTGGGCACCTGGAGGGCTGCGACTAGCTTGTTCCTCTATCCTGCATCCTGGCACTGAGCCTGGTCACCGAGAAGTATCAAATAACTATTTGCAGAGTAAGAGGAGAAGAGGTAAAATGAAGCTAGAACTTCAACCTGAAGCTGCCTGTCTCACCCATAACCTTTCTATAAAGGGGGAGCCTTGAGGTTTAAGGCATTTCCCACCAGGGGGAACTCTTGGGCCTCCTGCCTGACCTGCCTACCAGCCCAGATGGAGCAGGTCAGGGGTTGCACCTACTGGACGAAGAGGAGGGAGGTTCACTCACCAGCCTAGGGCTCATCAGCAGGAAAGGCTGTCAGAAAGAAGGAGGGATACAAGGTCATGGGGCGTTTGCTCAGTGAAAGGGAACCTCTTGTTACTCTTAAAATGGAGATATCTGGGTCTTTTTTCTCTCACAGCAGCAGGTGAGTCATTGGAGCCCCAGGGGGGTCCTCAACTTCAGAGGCTCACCAGCTCCAATAAAGGGGAAGAACTGTCAGTGGGTGGAGCTGTCATTCATTCACTGTGTGGCCTTGGGCAAGTTGCTGGCCAACTCCAGACACCTCGCAGGGGTGGTTTGAGAATTGAAAGCTCCGACTGAAAGGCATCTCCTGATACAAATGCACAGCTCTGCCCCTTCCAGGCAGTCAGTTCACCCCATCCATCTGCCCAAGCCAGCCCTGGAAAGGGACTAGGAGAGGCAAATCCAGACTCTCTGGGGACTGAAGCAGAGCCAGCCGAATCCGGTGGCAGTGAGGGAAGGGGCAGCTGGGCCTTGTGCAATGGGAGCAGCGGCCCAGAGGGGCGGGTCATATGGGGCACAGAGAGAGAATCAGCCGTCTAGCTAGTATGGCTGCTCCAACCCTCTCCCAAGAGACTCACGTGTCCAGCTGGATACTCTTTGCTGCCTTCCGCAAAGGGCTGTTCAGAAAGAGAAAAAAAGAGCCAGCAGCATGCAGGACCACTGCAACCCCTATCCCCTGCCTGTGTTTTGGGGTAGGACTTTGGCCTTTGTCAGTGGCCCTCAAATCTGGCATTTTGAATGTACTGATCCCTAGGTCCCACCTGAGACCTAGAGTCAGCATTTCTGGTGGCAGGGCCCAGGAATCCATATTTTTAATAAGTTCATCAGGTGGGAATGCATAGCCAGCTCAGCCTGTTTGGGCCCCAAGGTGCCAAGTTGTTCACCTCCTGGCCATGGCTCCTACACATTAATCAGACTCATACCCAGTACAGACTCCTGCCATGATTTCTGGGCTTTCTTTCTGCCATCACCTTCTCTTCCACCATCCCACTCCCATGTGAAACTTGTAGACTCCCTCCCTTTTGGTTATTACTGGTGCACAGGGCCTCCCTCCCCTGTCTCTTGGTCTGGGGTGGAGGAAGGGACCCAACTTTCTCTAGAATTGGGGGAAACAAGAGACTGCCACTACCCAGTTTTGGCCTCAAGGGAACTCACGTTGATGTTCAGGAATCCAACAGCTTTCACTAAAATGTCACCAAATATGCCCAGGGTATCCACACGAGACAGCGGGAGCCGGTAGCCGTAGTGGAGAAAGTGCTGTCCATTCACACTCACCTGGAGAGACCAAGAGGCTGGCTTAACAGCAGATCATATTTATTGAGTTTATAATGGTATCCCAAGTGCTGCTAATGATTTTTTCTCATTTAACTTCATACCAACTCTACAAGGTAGGTACATTTTTACAGATGAGGTGCCCCAGCCTTGGGAAGCTTTAGTAACTTTCCCAGGGTTGCAGAGCTGGTCTTGGGATCAATAAAGCTTTCAACACCTCTCTCCATCCCAGACAAACCTCTTTCCCCCAGACCCTTGTTGTGCCTTCTCAGCAGACCTGAAGCATCATCATCATTCCATCTATAGTGAGGAAACAGGCTCAGGAGGCTGTGTGATAACCCATGTCCTAGAAGACTCCCCTCCCACCCATTATCCTCTTCGCCTGAGAAATCTGAATGCCATCATTTTTCTGGCAGGAGTCCAGATCAGAGATCAAACCCTTGAGGCCAAGTTCAGTCCCCTCTTCCCCTGCCCCTTCGGCTGTTATTTGGAGATAATGAAAGTACCCACCTCCTGAGGTTGTCATGATGATCTAATAAGCTGATATACTTAGAGGGCTTAGTTTCTGGCAGACAGAGGTGCTAGGTGCTTTCTATGACTATGGCAAGAGTAACCTCTTCAGAGTCAGGAACTGTGGCGCCTTCTTGCTGCCATGTGGGCCCATAGCATCCTGGAACCTGGCATCACAGCTCCTTGGTCTACTCGGTACATGACCCCTCTCCCTAATACCACTCAACACAGTGAGGTGGGAAATTTTGCTGAAGGAAGAAAGGGTGAGAGGACATAAATTCTAGACTATTTGAGGCCCATCCCCTCTACTCACCTTCACCTCCTCATTCCCAAAGAGAAAGAGGATGAAGAAGCTGGCCCCTCGCTCCAGGGCCAGGTGGGGCCACCGGGCCTCCCTTTGCCAGTGTCCCCTGTGCAGGGTGTTGCAGATGACATGGGGCTTGGTGGTGTGGAAGCGAGGGTTGAAGTGGAAGGCGATATCAGGCCGGGGGCACAGGCTACAGCCACACTGGAAGTCCACCTGAAACCTGGTGGGAGGTGAGGCTTGCAAAGTGCAATTTTTATCAGAGACAGAGGCCCAGAAGGCAGAGAGGGGCCCCTGGTTTGATGCCTCTAGGACTAAGATCCGGCAGCCCTGGGGCAACTCCCTTACCTGTGTGCATCTAGAGGGACCACACCCTGCAGCATGACCATCTTGCCTGCGTGCAGGCCACCAAAAATTGTGGTGACATAAGGAACCACCTGAACAAGGGAGAAACCCATTCAGGCAGGGTTGGAGAGAGGGCCAAGGAACCCCTATATAGGGTGGGAAGGACAAGAAAACTCAACATTCCCTCCCAAAATAGAAAATGTATTTGTAGGGAAAAATCTGTTTTCCCTGAAATATTCTCTTCCACCTACTTCCTTCCCTGGATCTTAATATATCGAGGCCACATTGCACTGGGGATGCCACATTCAGCTCCACTGTCCTGTTGGAGCACCGGCCAGCTCCCTCTCCCAGCTACTAGGCCACAATAGGCTGCGGTGTCCCAGTGGGACTTGCCATCCACTGGGTGCCACCCCAGACCCCAGCAATCTGGTTTTGAGTCTTCCTGAGTACTGTTTAATGGGGAGGCAAGAAGAATAGACAAGTTGGGAGCTGAAAAGTGACCCTGAAATGTACCCCTGGGGAGACCTACACCAGCCTCCTCAGGCTCACGTCCCCCACATAGACGCTGCCTTGTCCTAAGACACACCACACACTTTTATAACCCCCTGCCTTTTCTGGGCTGTCCCTCCACCTTTTTTTACAGACATCATCCACTTGTGTGTCTGAATCATTTCCTCCTTCTGTTGAGCTCCCAGAGCACTTTGCTCACATAGCTGGTTTAGCCCTGGCCCCCTGGATTAGAGGGACTGGCTGGCTGTTTTCCCTGGGAGTCCACAAACCCCTCAAAGCTGAAACCTTGTCTTTTTCTCCTTTCGGCTCAGCACCTGGCCTGGCAGAGCAAGGACTCTGCGTAGATGTTTGTGGAATAAGTGTGAACACAACAATGGGTAGCTATCAGGCAGGGTCACATGATTGGCCTCCGGTGTTGCTCTCCAATTCCCAGCAACCTGAAACTCAAACCACACGGAAAGAGCTCAGATCCACCAGCACTGCCCTCCAAGTGGGACCTCACAGCCTGTAAGGCAAGGAGCCCTTGTAACCTGCGTATCTGCTTCTGCCCATCACTCAAACACCTAGTGGGAGTGAGCGGGAGGCTCTAGATCTCCACCTGTGAAGCTCAGCCTGCTTAGAAATGCAGTGGCCTACATTTCCCAGATTCCTTCCAGGCCTGAAATTAACAGCTGATGCAGCTGGGGGGCGGGGCAATAAGGGAAAGTGATAGTTAGTGCTCATTAGTGGGGGGTGTCTACTAGAAGTTCAATCTCTGTAAAGCACTGCCCGGCTTCAGGGAAATCTCCTGGGCACTGATCAGTAGGAGGAGGAACAGAGGAACCCTCCACCCTGGTCCTGAGCCGGAGGTTCTCACCTGACCCTCTCTTCCAGGCTGGAGATGAGACTGCCCTTGGTATAGGTAATCAGTGCTCCCTCCCCTCACTGTCAATGATCCTACCCACTTCCCCATCCTTCTGGCACTCAACACAGTAGGAGCACAGCACTGTAGTTCCAGGCTTTATCACTTTAAAAAGCAATGACCCTAGGAGCCCAGCATTCACAGCCAAGTGGAAATTAGCAGGTCAGCCTCAGGAGGGCCTTCTAGAACCCAGGACAGGTGCTGGGGGAAGTGGGGCCCAGGACTGAGGTCTCTCCACTTCACCCAGGTGTCTGGGCCCAGCAGGAATGGAGTAGCCTGGAAACCCAGGAAGTTGCAGGTCAGAGCAGAGGCTCACCGGATGGAAGACAGGCGGCTGCAGGATGAAGCTGTCAGGAATCGGGTCCAGTTTTTCTCCAGGTGACATCAGCTCCAACTCAGGCTGCAGATTCTGGGTCCAGAAGCCCTAACCCCACCTGACTGACTCACTTTCCCCACCTAGGGTCCTGAGTGCATGGGACAGCTCTCCCAGCTAGTCACATCTGCTCCCTGCAGGGTACTAATACCACTTGGAGAAGGCCTGGGAGGGCAACGGTCCAGCTCCTGGGACCCACAGCAATCCCCACCCCTGTGGTGCACAGCAGAGCTCTGGCAGGACTGGGGCTGTCAGCAGAAACTCTGTGACCACGGATGGGGAGCTGGCAGCAGCCAACCAGCACACTAGCCTCTCCAGGTCTGAAGCACATGGCCATTACAGAGAGAAGCCAGGGGTTGGGTCCTCTAGGGCCAGCAAGGGTTTGTGGTTTCCGGTGCTCTGGCCCTCACTGGGTCAAAGGAAGGGGAGGTGGTGCAGGTTGCAGAAGAAGCCCTGCCCCCAGCTTCCTGGACAACCTTGGTGGCTTCTCCTTTCTTCCTCGCTTCCCCATCTCTTTCTTTCATTTCCTTGTGCCTTTCCCAACTCTTCCTCCTCTTCCGAGTTTGACTGTTCCCTGAGACTGCATTTCAGCGCCAGCTGGAAATGCAAGGGGTCTGCTGGGGTCACAAAGTGGAGAGAGAGGCAGGAAGAGGATGGCCCCTTGGCTAAGAAAAGGCAGCATGGGTAGTACACAGCTGCACAGGGAGGAGACCTGGCTTTTCAGCCAGCCTCTGCCCTAATGTGCTTGCTGCCCTTGGACAGGTCGTTTCACCTCTCTGGTCCACTCCTTCTTCATCAGTATCTTGGGAGAGTGATCATAGCAGTCCACAGGTAGGTCTGTATCTAGAAGTGGGCCCAGATATCGGTGTTTTACTAGAGTTCTTCTAGTTTTGGTTCAAATTCCAATGAGGCTTTCTCTTTAAAAAGTAGCACAATCTCTCAACTTTATCCTGAGTTGGGAGGTTCCAGGATCTGACCCTAATGTCAGACTTGGCAGCAGGAATTCTTGGCAGGACCAGGCTAGGCAAAGGGTCAAGTACATGGGGTGCTGAGGGAAAAGTCAGCAGCTCCTGGGATGGAGAGGAGTGTGTGTGAAGGGTTGAGATAAGGTATCTTAGCTAATGCTGCCCAGGAAGCTTGTTAGAAATGCCCTGGTCCTTCTGAGGAGGACTCTCTGGGGCCAGTCCCAGGAACCTGCATTTTCACATACCCTTCAGGGTATTCATGATGCACTTTAATGTCTGGAAGCACTGACTTAGGACACAACTGGAAGGATTTCGGCTGTGGAGCCCAGGAGTTTGCTTAGATCTTGTTGGGTAGGTGGAGGTGTTTTCTGAAGGTGTTGGCTTAGGGAAATTTGATCAGGGGTGCATCTAGGGAGAGTGATTTATACACTTAGTGGGCAGGAGAGCCCAAAGGTGAAGGGACCAGTAGAGTGGGTCTGGACATGGGGCCTGGCATTGGAATCAGATCTGGGTCTTGGTCCCAGCCTCCACAGCCAGCGTAGATCTCTGGAAAACATAACACAAAAAGAATCAGCAAAGTTTAAAATAAAAAGTTATAAAAATCATTTTAGCCCTTCATCTCAGTCTGGTTCCATGCAATTAATTCTTGTTCTACTTGATGTTTGGTTAACAGTCTCCATGAGCACATCAGTTTTTTATTAGAGTTCTGGAAGTTTTTACCTAGTCCAATGGTATGATCTCCAAAATTATCAAAACCTGTATTCATGAGTACTTGTCATGGTTAATTCCATTAATTTCTTGAAGAAGAAGCAATTTTTTGGCTATAACAGTTTACAAAATACTTAAAATACAGACAAACAAAATGTTTTTTGAGAAGAATTAAAGTAAAATGATGACTACCTGTGGATCACAAAAGATTTAGAATAGTCATGGTAAAAGATGCAACTGAAGAGGAAATTTGGTTATTTCTATGGCATATAATAATTTGTTATCATCAGAATTGTGACTGATAACATATACTCACATATCAGAGGTTTTTTTTAGAAATCGAATATAATTTTGGAACACGCATTAATAACATATTCATACAAATATAACAATAACAAAAATAGCTTGAGGCCAGGAGTTTGAAATCAGCCTGGGCAACACAGTGAGACCCTGTCTCTATTAAAAAAAAATTATCTGGATGCAGTGGTGCACACCTGTAATCATAGCTACTTGGGAGCCTGAGGTAGGAGGATCACTTAAGTCAAATGTTTGAGGTTACAGTGAGGTATGACTGTGCTACTGCACTTCGTCCTGGGCAACAGAGCAAGACTCTATCCCTAAAAAGAAATTTAAATGAAAGTTAAACACTATGTTTTATGTGACAATGCTTCTCACATAATTTTTATACACCAAATAAACCTATATGTCTCTCTTGGACTACCAGGGGCCCTAATGTCCAAAAGTTAGTTTGAGGTTAAAAAATATTTTTAGAATTTGAAACTTAATTTTGGAAAGCCTATCAAAGCTATCAACACTTTAAAACACTTGATCAAAATGGAATCACTAAGAAATAATGGTCAACCATTTAGCCAAAGTGATCACCCAAAAGCAAAAAACTTTACTCTTGGTTAGAGAGGAGACTCAGTTTCCTAAAAATCAGAAGGCTCCATAAAGACAACGTGAGACCAACAGAATCTGTCTTTCCCTCTCCCTACTCCCACTTTTTTTTACAGTTTACTGAAAAGATAAATGAAAAACAGGTTATCCCCATTGATACTATACAAAATCTTGTTCAAAAGAGAAAATCCAATTCTATCTTTCCCTCATTGTATTATTAATGCTAAAGCTAATTTTAATAAAAATCTCATAAAACAAAGTACTATCATGAGGGGTCAATCTCTATTAGCTTTGACCACACAAGATAAGACTTCCATAAATCTTTTATAATCTCTTACACATTTTTTCTATTTTCTTTCTTTACTCAACTTTCTGTATTCATTCAGTTTTTCCAGCTCAGTTTTTCATTCTTGTATTCCTTCAATTTAATACAACATTTAAATAGCCTCTAAACAAAATAAAATCACTTTAACAAAACACTATTCTCATTTCTTTCTTATAACCTTCCTTACTAAAACCTCATCTTACTTTTCTTACACACTCTGTGTATAGAATTGTTTCTTTTCTTATCTCTAGTTATAGTTATTATACATCAGTCAGAATTTTAATTCTTAGTAATCTTAATTTATAGTGAAAACCTAAAGAGTCAGCAAATTTTTAAGCTGTCAGTCATGTACCAACAATTTATGAATATATATTTTATACTTTTTGGAAACAAGCTTTCTAATGGAACAATTTTTCAACAAGGAATTGGACATTTTTACTGAACAATTTAAATATCTTTTGTTTATCTGAAATAAAAAGCCAAAAGTTCATAGGCTGAAATTTAGTAATTACTATCTTAGCATTATATTTTATTTGAAAATGATCTAGATATTCAATGAATATTATCATTTAATTTAGCTTAGCAATACTCTAAGGGTATAGTTACCAAATGATTTGAGAAAACTTTTTAAGTAAACATATTATAAAACATAATTATTATAAAAAGTTTATTTATACATTTTTATCCCAGTTACATCTATTTAATATTTATTCTTAACAATTGTTCGGAAAATTTCATGAGACATAAGGCAAATCTAGCCATCATCTCCAGTGAAATTTTCTATTAGCAATTTTTTATGATGCTATATGTTAGGCAAGTAGCATAAAAGCAAGAAGTTTAAAGCTAAATACATGCATATTTTGCTGATAACTCAGACAGTTGTTTTTATTAAACCAACAATATTAAACTAGCCTTATTTACCAAAAGATTGACTCACATCATGTGAATTTGGAAAATATGCGCACTGACTTATTTTATTTATGGGCACTCATTTACCTTTAAGTTAATTTGGTTCCATGCAGATAATATACAAACACATGTATGTATCTACTTGTAAACACAACAGATAACATACACATATACACATGCATGTATTTAAAAGTCAAAGACAACAAATAATTCAATGTAAAAGAGAGTAAGAGCTTTAGACCTGAGAGGAACCTGTCCACCTACAACTCTTGGGGAACCATGAGGTAAAACAGAAGTCCCTTTATGTCATATCAAAGGTGGCAAGAGAAAGGCGGGAGAGACAGAAGTAAATGGAAGAACAAGTCTTAAAGCAGTCAATTTAGGGGATCTTGGTTTTCAAAAAGTCAATAAGGTTTTACATTATCTTGGCAAAAACCATGCCAACAAGAAAAGAAACGGACAGAGGGCATACACATGGCTAGCAGGGGTTAAAGAAGAGAGAAATTTAGTTGACTAAAAGCTTTCATAGAGAAAAGAGATCTCTCCACTCCCCCCCCCAATATATATATAATTAAGCAGACTTTTGACTATAGAGTTCTTCAGGAAAATCTTTATATCAGATTTTAGCCAAGCACATAACAAATATTCCTGTTTCTTGGCTTTTTTCCCCCCTGAAACTTAAATCAAGAAGGAGTTTTGGAGGTATTTATTACATGTCTAAGGTAATCACTGTTTAAAGCGGTTTGCCTTTTGTAAATCTTGCAGTCAAGTCCAGCAGTCAGGTTGAGACTCTAAAGGAGTTTCCATGGGGAGTTAAAGGCATTCCCTCTAAAAAGAAAAAAACGTTCAAAGCTCCTATCAAATTTCAGCCAGAACAAACAGAAAGTAGGCCTCTCAAAGTTGCTTTTTCTAATTGTGTGTGCAAGTACATTGATTTAGCAATTTCAAAAGACCTCCTTTTGGCCATTGCATTTAGGGTCATCTTGAGTCATGTGGGTCCACTTACTTAGGTATGTGCAAGATGGAACTCCACTGCTGGAATTTCTAAGGGGTTGCCCCTTGAGAGAAAGCTCAGTTTTGATGAATGGTTTTCCATAATTTTAGAAATTCTTTTTCAAAAGTGACCAAGGCCAGAATAGTATATTGGGTCCAACTGTGCTACCATGTGAATGTCATTCCTCAAGGTGTCACCAGTGGGTCATGAATAGCTCTCTTTGGCACTCTTTGATCACCTTGCAATGGCAGAGTGCTCCAGGTATCAGGGTGACCAGTTCCTTATTTAGGGACTCTGGATGAGCAAGAGTCCCTAAAATGTTCTGGTAAGAAGTGCCTTATGAGGTAGCCTCACATCCCAAACATCCCAAACAACAATTGTGATGCCTCTGCAAAGTCTCTAGTCTCCTAGAGCAACAGAATGGGTCAGAGGGAGCGATTGCCTCTTCTGTTTGGGGGGAGAGAATTCACCTTCGTTCACCTTTGGGGTTGAAACTAACAATGAATGGTTACAGGTGAAAAAAAAAGTCTGAATCACAAGCAGTAGGAAACAGCTGCAATTTTCAAAGCATGCTATGTAATTTTAGGCCAAAAGAAATGAAACCACTGTTGCCAGGCTGCCA